TATACATATATATATGGCTAGATATATAGATATATAGATGGATGGATAGAGAGATAGAGAGTTTGATAGAGAGAGAGATAGAGAGATATAGTTGAACTGTTAAGCTGTACTGGAAAACCAAAAGGAGACAAGTAATTTCAACAGGACTAAGAAATTTATACTTTAAAATTATTTTAGGGTTTGGTTGTTTTTTCTTTCTAGGTTGGTTGGTTGTTTTTTTGGGGGGAGGGAAATGGATGGAATCGTTTGTTCTGTTTTTTAATTGCCAAAACTTCAATATGTGCCTCCAGACTTGAAGGCACGTATTCTAATTAATTGCTTGTGTTTTCACAAGTCAAAGTAGGGAAAAGAGACCTAATGTTTGTCTTCTCAAAAACCAATAATCACTGCATTTTACAAGAGTAAGAAGCAGATTGAAAATAAAGATTCCCTGCCCTTACAATCCATACAGTTAATTTGTATTAAACTAGAGTTCACTTGTATGAAATTTATCTCAAAGCAGTCTGATCTACTATTGTGTTTACCATTAAAAAACAAGTCTTCCTTGTTTGTTTTTTTTTTACACTGTAGTCTATTCAGAAATACTCATGATACCTCCTATATTCACAGGCAAACCCTTCGACCCCCGCACGTTCCTTGTCCATGCTATTGCAAATATCATTTGTGCCGTTGTTTTTGGTCATCGCTTCTCGAGTGAGGACGAATCTTTCGGCAAGCTCATCAAAGCTGTGTATTTTGTCATCTACTCCCAAGCTACGATCTGGGGCAGGGTAAGAATCCAGTTTTCTTGTTCTTATTCCTTAAAGTGCACTTGCACTTCACAAGTCAAAGCAAATTAAAAGTCAGTGACAATTATTCCCAAGCATTTCCGTTATTCTGCAAGCCACTGTGCAGTAATAATTACCTTGTAATAATATACCTTGCATACGCTATTATTGCCTTACATTCCTTCTTTATGTCTCCTAAAATTTAAATTCTAGGTCATCACTGGTTCTCATAGATTTCCAAAATATGTAATGTATTTCAAATGAGTAATCATTTGCAGAGTACTGTGTAAGATTCTTAAATCTTAAAATGAAAGCAACTTTTAAAATTTAATTCTCATTCAGAAAGCGCAGCTAATAAGAACTAAGCCTTCAAAGTCCTGTTCTTTTGAGAAGATATCTTACTCCTCATGTAATTCATACTACCACCAAGATCCAAGTTATTCTGAGCTTCCTATAAGATACAGGTAACAATTTCATCATATCAAGAAGAAAAATTTTAAGTTCTTGAAAGCCTCGCTATTGCTTATGTTGTGCAGAATTTGGCACACTGACATCCTGTAACACCATTAGGTTCTCCAACACTTTCATACAGAGATGCCTTAAAAAAAATCAGAATAAGAATCAAGGTTGAGATAATCTGCTTGTGAGCCAGATTCAGCCCTCAATTACTCTGATTCAACAGAAGTCCCTGTTGCATTATTAGGTATGAATCCGAGAAGTAAAATGCAATCAATCATTCTCCTGTGACCTGATAACCACTATTACGCCACGTTGACATTTTGGCCAGCTAATGGGGATGGAGAAGTCTGCACTGGCCAATAGAGTCCTCATCACAGGCCATAAATAAATAAAACAAAGGCTTTGCCAGTAGTCCCAGAGACTGAAATCCATTCACAAAACATACACAGCACAAATAAAGGAAAAGCACTCTTTTTCCCTTCAACAAATACACATGCCAGTTTCCCAGAGGAAAGCCTTCTAAGACTGAAAGGTCAAGCCAGCATCCATACGTTTTCAGTCTTCAACCTTCTTAGTAATGATAGCAAGTGTGGTTGTTGAATAGTGACAATGTGATCATAACAACTCGGACTGCTGCATTTTACTAATAGCTCATTAACAAATATCAAACAAGTTTTCCTCAAAGCCAGTTCACTTAAGGGGCAATGTAAAGGCTTCATAATCCCTCTTAGAAACATAGAATAATTTCCACTGGAAGGAACCACTGTATGTCAGCCAATCCAACTCCATGCTCAAACCAGGCCTAATTAGATCAGGTTCATTATGGACTGGTCAAGTCTTAAAGTCTCCAAGGATAGAGATTTCACACAGACTTTCTGAGAAACCAGAATTTAATTGCCAGTATTTAATCTTGCTCTGACTCGTGTCTCTTGTCTCTCATCCCATGTGTTGCCATGACTTCAGAGTTATCACAAAATCAGAATTGGGTTCTGAATTTAAAAGAGCTCACACTTCTTCGTTTTGTTTAAAATCGCAGATGTACGATGCTTTCCCATGGCTAATGCACCATCTCCCAGGACCTCATCAGGAAGTGTTTGCATACAGTGACTTCATGCACCATTTGGTTACAAATGAGGTCCAGGCTCACGAGAGACACACCACCGGTGATCCACAGGACCTCATTGACTTCTACCTAGCTCAAATAACAAAAGTAAGTATCTATCACAGTGTTCCTCCTTGGCCTCAATGCCTACTACAAATACAGTTCAAGTAACTGCTACAGCATTTTGCATACTGTATTTAGCAGTGAAGGTTTTTGTTTTGGTGGGCTGCTCACTGTTTTCACCAAGCAGTGACAATTTCTATGTGACCGATGATGTCTGAAAATACCCACTTCATCATTTTCTTGTGATTATACCCCACAGACCAAAGATGACCCTACTTCTACGTTTAATAAAGACAATATGGTTCAGACTGTGGTTGATCTGTTGCTGGGAGGGACGGAAACAACAAGCACCACCCTTCTCTGGGCACTGCTCTATATGGTGCAATATCCAGAAATACAAGGTGAGCAAAGGCATTATTCAGAGAACTGCATTCAACATTACACCCTAATGAACTTCATTAAGTGTAAGTATTAGCTCAATCACTTGTGATATTAGCAAAATAACCCTTAACAACGAATGTGAATGGTGGCACATCAACAACTGAGATCTAGAAAACGAAAATTTAATAAATGAAACAAATACGTGCTTTTCCCACCAGTTCACTAAGAAGCAACACTAGCAGACCTTAGTAGCAGCCACTGCTTTCTCCCGGTATAAGGGGATGGCAAAGACAGAATAACAAGCTGCAGACATTTCACATGCAACCTAGGCTCTTCCCAACTCTCAAGTGGAAAAGCTTTAAAAAGACAGCTGGTCTGATGTGTATTTATAAACATAACAGAAATTACACCTGTAGTTGCAAATTCTAATCCTTTTTTTGATACGTAGAACTGCGTTACCCAAGTGGAACGTGTGTTAAATGAAAGGCCACCTTGTGCTCTGGGGATACGCACTTTCTCAATCAACTGAAACCAACACATCAGCCAAACCACGCGCCAATGCATTCCACTGCAACAGAATTTGTTTTTTACCCCAGTCCTGGACCATACCTGTATAGAAATCTGCTGGAAATAAGGGGGAAAAAGTGACAATCTTTTTATTTCTCTGCAGAAAAGGTTCAAAGAGAGATAGAGGATGTTCTGGAACCCTCTCATCTCATCAGCTATGAAGACCGTAAAAAGCTGCCATATACAAATGCTGTGATTCACGAGGCTTTGCGGTACAGCAACGTTACTTCTGTTGGGGTCCCTCGAAAATGCGTGAGGAATACAACTTTGCTGGGTTTTCACATTAAAAAGGTACAGAGCTTCTATGTTTCTTAGAGCACTGAGCTATTAATACTTAGTATTTATGATATTGGCTTCTCCAATTCCTAACTGTGCATAGAGAGCACATGGTAGCACACCCCAGATGTGAACCAAAGCTGAGGGTTCTGAACCAGGGCTAAGTTAAGTTAGCAGATGCATAAGGAAGCTTGGGGAAAAGCAGAAAAAAGGCAGGAAAAGCAGAAGTAGCAGACAAACATAAGGAAAACTGAAGCCCAGATCCAAAGTTGGCTAGTGGGAAGAAAGGCTTCACAGCAGAACATGTGTTGTAAGGAATGAGGAAGAAATGCGGTTTAATGACTGTCAAGCCAGCCAGCTTTCACAGATAAGGGAGCAGCCTGGAGCAACCCACAGTCATCCCTGACAAAAACACACACCTCACACACTGAAGATGATGGCAGCTCAGTACAGTGACAGGTCTGACAGTCACATCAGCATGATCTAAATATCCCAAATGTATTAAGCATAAAATTGATGTGATGGAATGGCAAAATCCAGTGAAGAGTATGGGAAAAAAAACATAAAAAGGTGTTATGATTAGTATGTAAAACAGTCCAGGCTCCACTCCAGCTTAGACACGAAGACACGTCAGTAGTCCTGACACGAGATAACTTACACAGAGGCCAACGCGTAACACGTCACGGCAAACAGAAGATACAAGGGGTTTGTCAGGCCTGGACGTGAACAGAAGACCAAGTTGAATCCAAACACTGGGCCACAGACGCAGGATGACATTTTATCTGTTAGGGAGAAGGAAAATCAAAAAAAAAGAACCAGACATGAAAAATATAATCTCTGCTTCTTCTTGCAGGGCACGCTCGTATTGCCAAACCTGCACTCTGCTGTGTATGACCCTGAGCATTGGGCGACCCCTTGGAAGTTCAACCCAAACCATTTCCTTGATTTGGATGGCAACTTTGTGAACAAAGAGGCATTCTTACCTTTCTCAGCAGGTAATGCCCTGGCGTTTGAATATTGCTCTTCACCGTGTCTTGCGGCCAAAATAAAAACACCATTTCTAAATCCTAAAATTTTCAAACCATACTTTTATAAAAACGTATTTGACACAAAGATTTAAAGTCAGTGTTCTACTGCAAGAGCCACAGATATTCTCTTGCATTTTATATTATTTATACATTCAAACAGAGGATAAGCATGGCTAAGAGACATAATGCAATCTCCTTGGTATGTGTATGGTTCCTACCATTAGGGAATTTCATCCTTTTAGTCCCTAGTGTATAAAATCCCTCAAATCCAAAAAATCCATTTATTCTCACCTTACAAATAGGGAACCCAAAGACAAAAGTAATACGATTTATCAAAATATACCGAGAAAATCTGTGATAAAGCAGGGAACCAACCCCCAGCCTCCCAAATCCTGCAGTAGGAGTCTAAGAGCAGATTTCCTTTTATCTCCAGAAAACTAGCAAAATCCAGTCTTTGCAGCAGAATATTACTGGGCAACCAAAGAAAACAACCCAACTTTTCAAAAGTGTATTACAATGTACGATTTACCAAATTTACAATGCAAAACACGGTGAAACAGGCGTGGGAGGGAAGAGAAAAGAAGAGTGAAAAGCAGTACAAAACATAAATCAGAGGGCTTCTCTAGATGACCAGTTTCTGCAATACACAGTTTATGGAGAAAAGCAGCACAAAACAGGATGTTGGTGTTATTTACTGAAAATATAAAAATTAAACAATGAAAATAGCTGAGGTTTTTCCATGTTACGGTGACAGACGATACTATTATACATGTGCTGTAGACAAAAAGCAAATAATATACTAAGTAATGTACAAAGAAGTCAGATCAAACACAGTAAATCCAGATTCTGAAACCATTTTCCCCAATTGCCTGTAAATCCTAAAAACCAGGTCCTTAGCACCTTACCTCCTTTACTCACCAAATGTCCGCCAGTTTACGTGAATCGACAACTAATTTAGGTGAGCATTTCAACCCAGGCAGAGGGAATTTTCTACCTTGCTTTGGTTGTTTTCTGTTTATATAATCTGAGTTTTTATATATCCTGGTTTTCTTCCCCCAGTCCGAAATATACAGATATCCTGAAATATACTGTGAAAACAACATGCTAAAATGAGTCACTGAGCCCATACATCACTGCACACACCTACGTTCCATTCTCTTAGCTCACACATCTGCTTCTGGACAGGGTTAGGGAGAGGTCCCAATACAGCCTTCTTCATTTCTGTTGAAGAAATTCTTCTACTAAGGATCCTTCTACTTAGCTTGAGAATTGAATCCCACAGTGCTCCAGTCCTCCCTCCTCAACAACCAGAGACTCTGAAGTACAGGAAGCCTTTTAAAATCTGGCCTTCTCCTAACCGAGAAGCAATTCATGGTTCTCACAGCACTTGACGCACAGAACAAGCAGCAAGAAATGAAAAGGAAGAATCTCAAGCTCCAGGGGTGGGGAAAGACCAAAAATCACAACACACCACCAAAAAAACCAACCAACTAACACAAACAAAAGAAACCCAACCAAACAAAAACCCCAATCAGTTGACAGAAATAGCAGCACACAGTTTCTCAGTTGAATGCTTCCCCCACCTCCAAAGGCATCTTCTGTCCTCACAGAAGGAAATAGTAAATAAGTGCTGTTGATGTAAGAATTATGGAACTCAGTATAATTTTGTTTGAAGTTCTTTTCAGACTTTAGCTTTATACAACTTATTCCCTTTCCTCTGCAGGGCACCGCGTGTGTTTGGGGGAGCAGATGGCACGAGTGGAACTGTTCATCTTCTTTACCAATCTACTTCGGGCATTCACATTTCAGCTCCCTGAGGGAGTAAAGGAAATCAATTTGGAGTACGTTTTGGGTGCAATACTGCAGCCACATCCGTATAAACTCTGTGCTATTCCACGTCAGTCTGCAACATGCCGCAGTGCAGAGGAACTGTGAGCACTCAGCAACTGCAGATAGTTTAAAAACATCGCTGTCTCAATGATATTCAAATGTAGGTATCTCAGTATAGCAAATTAGAGTGGTTTTTTAGGAGGTCTGACCTCATACAGTTGAGCTTTTTGAAATTAAAATGTGTACTTGCCAATGCGCGCATCATCACATCTTGGGCGTACACAAGTACACAGTAGTATGCTACAAAAAAGAAAAGAATATATTTTCACGCTCACAGTAGCATTGAATTAGATGTAGGATTTTGGAGAAGTGATTTGTATCCAGCACATTTTCCTGCACGTGTGCTCAGCCAGGTATCACAAACTTGAAATGGTACAGATGTTCTAATGCAGCAAGGATGCCTGAATAAAAAATGGTTTTCTTCAATATGCTGTTACTCCTCTGTGTTCACTGGTCCTTTCTTCCATCCTTTTACAGAAGCAACAGAGTGTATACACCGAGCGTTGACTCCTTTCCCATAAAGCATTATATATTGTAGTATAAACCACACGTGAATAAGTGATTGCAGAATGGGGCCTTTTATAATCATGGTCCATTTACATCCTTACACCTTTTTTCTTTACTTGATGTCTCCTATTTTATCACAACTCTCAGATCCAGGTGCTTTCATGAATCTTTCCTTCTTCTGTTTAGAAACATAATTATACCATCCCGTAATTTCCTAGTTGAAGGGAAAGGAACAACCTTTCAAGAAATAAAGAAAATAAACAAAGATGCCAAATTTGTTAGAACAGGCACAGTAGAGATTTATTACTCACGGTGTTTTCTTTTAAATATTTTCACTATTTTTCATATTTCTCAGACAAAACTAATGGAAGACTTGATTCTCCTCTCACATATTTCCAATTGTTCCCTTAGATCTGGTGAAAAGCCCAGGGCTTTAACACACTGTGAAGTCTGCTGTTGCAGAACAAATGCACACTTGACATCATTGACAATTTTCACCTTTTTAATAAAAGACATCATAAAACTTTCAACATTATTCCTTTTTTATTGAGGAAAATATAACATCTAAAAATCCTCCTTGAATAAGAAATACTTAAACAGAAATTAAGAAAAATCTCTGAAACGTCATATTTGTTACAGTGAGGGCAGACCTGGCATAAAACACATTCTTAGAGATTTACAAAAGCAGTCCGACACGACAGTTCATAAAGAAACGTTTTCAAGTCTCATCTTTCTCCTTTGTGGTGTTCATTAAAGAAAAAACTCACCAAAAAAATCTCTTTTCAACCCACAACTGGCATGGTTCAATAAAGGGCCCGTGATAAAGTGCTCAGCAGCATGACTGGCAGTGTAGGATACAAGCTTGGACCTTCTCCGCTCCAGTGTATTTTGATGATTCTTCAGGTATGTCCTACCTGAAAAAAGACTCCAGTTTCTTTCCTCTATGTTTGCCCCTTTGGTCTCCTGAAGTTATTCTGTAAGTTTGGTTTGTTGCGGTTTTAATTTTTTCCAAAACATTATTTAACTGTGCACGTAAGTTCTCTGTTTTCCTTGTAAAACAGTAGCTTGGGTTCAAACACGCACATATTCTTCACCTGTATTTTTGAAGAACTGAGGTACATTGTGAAGAGTTGCTGTACAATGCTGGTTCTAAAAACACAGGAAGAACAAATATTCAGTGTGTACATGATTAAGGAGGTATTTTTAAAAAGAAGTCATTGTAGGCCTGACAGTTGGTACCAGTGAAAACCAGCTGGGAGAAGAGTATCTTCTTATTCCGTTTAAAACTGAAAACGGCAAGCAGTGAGGTACTCCTCGGCTTTCCAATGCTTCTCGAAACGACAGTGTGAGAGTTCCAGATCACCTTTTCATCACAGTTGTAAATGAAACCTATAAGCAAGTGAACAATGCAGGGTGAAAAGCTATTTCATGAGTTAACATTTTTGTCAAGAAAGAAGAAATTCATAAGGAATTAGAGAAAATCAGAGAAAATATGTAGAAATCAAAGCCCAAATGCAAGCTGTTCCTGTGCAATCTCTTCAGTAAAACACATAGGTAAGCTTTTAGAAAACTACACTGACAGCTCTGCTGTGATGCACCCCCTAGAAATCAATGGTCCAACTTCTCAGCAAGGCAGACGGCCTGGATCCTTCAGAGATCAAACCCCTGAAAGCACTGATTGACTTAAAGTCCAGTCTTTAGGAGAGACCGTGCTGCTGAGTATTCGTTTCAGACGTTTAATTTCTACCCCTGGTAAGAAAACGGTAACTGCCATTTCCAAATTCTTTAAGTTTTCAAGTCCTGAAGAATCCAAACTGTTTGTTTCTTTGATGACACCCTTTGAACAAGTCTGATAATTTTTTATGGCGTAACGTAAGAAACATACACTTCAATATATTCCTTCTGTTATAACGGCCTTGCAGTGGTCTGTTTCCAAAACAGCAGCAATGAAGGACTTCATTACATACTTCAGCTCCCAGATATTAAAATAACAAGCACCACAAGGAAAGTACATGCAGGTCTAAGCCCACTTTCGTGAAGCCCACAAAATCCATACTGTTTGTGTGGTTTTAAGGACAAGATGCAATCATTGGTCAACATGACTTAGATTAAGAATATTAGTAAACCAGTTCTAATCTGGGGTGAAGGTTTCTTCCTAAGATTTTGTTGTTTGTATTAAACCTCAAAGCAAGAGTCAAGTATCTAGATGGTCCAGTTCTCATGTAACAAGCAGAGTATTATCAAGGGCCTGCTTTGATCCACCAACCACATCAGGTATCTTTAAACAACTGCTAAAATAAGGCATTCAAAGCTCTACTCTCCACCCAGTAAAAACACTAAGTATTTTACTCAGCATTCACATGCAGCTCTTCAATATTACCTGCACATCCATTTAAGCAAAACACAATACCAAAGTATTAAATATAATTTAATATCAAGTGTTAACTTGACCAGAATGGCTCACACACCAAGGATTACACTGGTAGGATGCTCTATGGGCTGGCTGCGAGGAAACAAATGAAAATCAAAGCTCCAGTGTGGTGAAAGCTAATCTTTGGATTGTCCATTTGATTTTCCTCCCTTTTTGCTGTGTTAAGTTTTTACAACTCTGCAGCATCATTAGAATTTTTAAATCGCAATACAAGGATCCCAAATTAATATCAAAGCAAATCAGATGGAGGAGGGATAAAATATATAATTGCAGCTAGCAGATCTTCAGTGTCACCAAGAATGACCACATCAAAGCATATGCAAATACATAAAGAGCGTTTACACTCCTGAAAGGAAATGTAGAAGTGCAACCACTTACTCATCACCAATAGTCTGATTTCTCACAGATGCTAACAGCAGATGCAGGTACTGGGAAATGACTCAAGTGAGCAAATAATGACTTCACAAAATAGTCCTAAGAAGCTTCTGTATATCCAAGCAGTGTGAAGAAGACAAGTTTTGCTGGGTGCTAAGAAATGCTGAGAAATAAAACCCCAAAGATTAACTGCTTTACTGATTAACAGTTTGCAGCAAGTTAATGAGAACATTCAAAGTCCAGTCCACTCGTACACAGCTCTCAATATTAGTCAATACAAAAGCCTCCATGATGCCTTTGCCACACCTATAGAACTGAAGTTAAAAATGTATCACTTACTTCTTGCAATACTTGTCCAAGTGTCTCCCGGCTGTGAATGCGCTTCCTGTTGAAAACCCAAACCACATTTATTTCTGCACAAAACATTGAGGGATCTTCTAAGTATCAATCATTTATCCCACTTCAAAAAGAGAAGACTGTTACACTAGGCTTTGTTTCCTATCTCTTCCCTTATGGAATCTTATGGGATCTACAAACTCCAATTCAGACCTGTTATTGTACAGATTAGGAGGAACTACCTGGAATAAGGCCTGCTACTCATTGCCTTTTCTCAAAACCAATCCTGTTTATTAAAAAGCTTTGTAAAATTTCAGCATAAATCCTAATATACTGATATAGCTGATAATTAGTTGCTTTAGTGCCACCTTCTCCAGCATCTCTCTAGACATCTGTTGCTCAGCAAGTGATGTAAGAAGATTAAAAAATACTTCAAAGTGGTAAGCAATGTTTGTAAACTTAACAGTAATATGAAGACTTGGAAGAAAATAAAAACCCTTGAATATTTTCTGTCAAAAGTGAGAACATTTTACTTTATGTTTCCAAACATCCCGCAATGCATGCGCTAAAAATACTAGAAAAGCAAATAGAAGGCAACATATTTTTACCTGTCTATTTTGGTCGCTATGACCACTGTAAAATTGCCTTCTGTATTGGGCAAGTACGTAGAAGGTATAACTACGTAACTTCCTGCAGGAAGTCTGCAAAGCTGGCTCACTTCCTGCGAATAGCAATGAGGTACACAGCTAACCAGTGGCTCCAAGTGCAGAAAAGAGGCATTATGTGGTTTCCAGCTCCTGTTAGGCACCTGCAAAAAAAGAATGAAAACACACCTTACCTTTCAGGCCTCAAAATGTCACATTCCTGATATACCATAGTATGGTACGTTCAATATCTATTCCACTCCAAATAAACACTCTTCTGTACAGAGCTATATGAAAGGGACAGGAAGACTTCCAGATGGCAGATAAAATCATTCCTACCACGTTTGCAGACAGTTTATACAACCCAACACCCACATAGTGCAAAAGCTTCTTCTACTGTCTAATCTCACTCTTCCTCGCTGCAGCCTAATGCACTTGTTTTCACCTCCTAGGTATGGTGAACAGACTACATCCTTCTTCTTTTTAGTGGACTTTCCTGTACTAAAAATCACACTAGATCTCTCCTCAGTCTTCTATAGGCATGAAAAATGTCATTCTTTCCATCTTTCTTCACATATTGTAGATTAGAAGCTATGCGACCACTCCTAATGCTCAACTCCACACACTCCATTTAAGCAACACCTTTTCTGAAGCACATTTTCTGAACATAAAGCTGGCTTTCCCCGCAAAACAGCCACTGAGCCAGAAGCTTCCCATCCGACATTTATGCAGTTGATCATTGGCACATACTTGTAGAACTCGTATTTGCCCATACCAAATCATACCTTGCTCTGTGTCAGATCATCTGTTCAACATATCAGAGTCCTTTTGAATTCTAATCTTGTCTGCAGATCCAATACCACTTGCCAACGGACAAGTAAATAATTAGAGATGAAGAAAGTAAGTTTTCCTGATCAACTACCAAAAGTCTGGTCCTCAATCACTAAGACACTGGAAATTCTTTTCAAATCCTCAAAAGAGTTCATCATTTCTCAAACTAATTCAGAACACTGGAAGGATTCAGTGGAACCAATTATCTGGTTACTATAGCACCCAGCGCGTAGTTACTCCACATCTTTCACGGGCATTACTTCACAGGACCAGGCTGTGTTTCTCCTAGAAGCAGGAAATCCCTTGCCTAGTGCACGGAGCACAGAACAGACAGCCTTACCTTCACAGCTGGCAAACGAGCAATAGAACTGACCCAAAGAAGTCTTACCTGGAAAATATGGAAACCTATTGGACGACACTTGCTATCTTGGCAGTGCTGACGGAGAGTAACTTTCACACTACTTTTTCCTGGTCCTGCAGGAATGGAGAGGGGAAAGCAGGGATTGATATGGAAGGAGGGGAAGTTCCTGCTACCTCCAGCACTTTGCCCGTTTTTCCAGCATCCATGCAGCTGCACTGTCTCCCATTCACCTGCTGGGAGTTCTTCACAGAGGGCAGCATCTGCAGGTGGTGGTTTTAGCTCACTATCAAACGTAAGAGAGAAAAGAAACTAAAATGTACAGAGTCTGTATGACTTCACAAAATGCAGAGCACCACTGGGAAAGGTGTTCTGCAGAAACCTATTCCGTTCTTTTACAAAACATACTTTCTCAATACACTAAGCTGCAGTTCAGAGTCAAGATCTGACTACTTC